TTGGTCTCTAGGTTCCAGACACTTCTAGGAAATGAGCCAAAAATACTTCTTCTTTATTCGGTATTTTCATTTCTTCTTTGATGCATCAATAAAACGCGTGTAGAGCTTTTCATACCTTTCTCAAGACTTCGTTGGCAATAACGCATCTGTATCGAACCCAATTCCACTGAAACGAAAATGACAGTAACGCTGTGTCTGTCACTTCGACAAATACATACTCATTTGAGGTTTGATTGGCATGACAACGAAAATCGTTTTCCATTAGATCAATCCAGATCTATAGGGGGATTTACATCATGATCAATTGTTATTTTTCAATATTTCTCAATTTCAACAATAAATAGTGCAATTTGATAGATGATTCTGAACAAACATACTTAATACTGCATCAAACAAACTCAAACTCTCATATTCTATCACCCACCACTTATATTTTGCCATATTATCATATCTCTATTTTCCCGCACTAGTGCGGAAAAAAAATTCCCTGCACTAGTGTGGGAAAAAATTCCCCACAATGTTGCGGAAAAGTACACTTCCCAAACTTATATAAGGTGGATCACGCACGCTTGTAGGAATAATATTTTGTCTACAAGCGTAGGAAATTGATTGATTTGTTCAATTAATTTTTCATTCATATAGGAAAGACCTACAAAAGAAATATATTCTCTATCTACTGATTATTAGTAATAGCTATATTGTGAACTTACAGTTTGACGCATTATGTATAGGTTCATTGCGGAAGCCAGCAGGCCCATAGTGTTTGGTCTCTAGGTTTCAGACACTTCTAAGAAATGCGCCAAAAATTCGTCTTCTCTATGCGGTATTTCCATCTCTTTATTGTTGCACCATTCAATAAAACGCGTGTATAGCTTTTTATACCTTCCTTGAGACTTCGTTGGCAATGACGCATCTGTATCGCATGCCTATAGCTGGAAGTTTTTGATCACAGAATGTCACTTTCCAAACTAAACTGCGTGCTGGTATAGGGTGAATCACGCACGCTTGAAGAAAAAAATAATTATCGACATGAATCGAAATAAAGAAAGTATTGATTCATAAATAGAAATTTCCGCGAATTAAGCAATTCATGGCATTTTCGTTTGAGTGAAAAAAAAATGAAATCAATTTTCACTTTACCGCATACTAGAGTGGATGAGTTACCCTTTACAACACTCAGTGCGGTGAAATTTCACATCACGAAACTGAAATCAGTGTCGTAATGTTTCACCTCACATATTGGAAGTTGATAAATGTTTCTCAAATAATACAATATAAAATTTAAAAAGAAGTTAATACTGCTGGCAATATGATTCGAGTTCTTCCTGTATGATACTCCTCAAAATCGTCGTATATTCAACTACAAATTATTATCGCTACAAATTCAACCAACTTACGATGAACTGAGAGGACATTACGCAATTATAAACTTCAAGAAAGCAACAGAGCAGCTCCTCTCGTATATTCAACGAAACTGAAGTTGCATGTCTTCTAAGATAATTATTCTAACTAGTTTCGTAAACATTTGAATAACTGCCATCTGGATTGTACTTGATATTTCGAAGTTTATCAAGATTCCACCAGTTGTATCTTGTAATATAGTGCTTCGAGTTTCGAGGAAATTCAGAATTAGACGGAAATTACACTGTGGGTATTATTTCCACAAGAGGGGCAGCATACCTACTTCGTCGAGATACGAGTATCATCTTGCTGTAACCGAATATAAAAGTTGAATATATTTCCTGACTCAATGCCACGAAGAGTCAGTTTGTTCATTTTTCGTTTATACCACAGACTCCATATAAAAATTGGCATTGAAATCAGTGCAAATATTTCGAAACCTGAGATAGCTGGACGTATACTATCGAATGAAACTAATAGAAACCATATAGTGATGATGATTTTCTTCGTATATGATTTTAAACCAATCAGAACGTCCTATTGAGTGAGGCTACAAGTATGATTGACCCCTTTTCCAGTCCAATATTTGTGGAGGGACGAAAAGCAAGAAATTCAAAAAGAAGGGAGTTCAAATCCTTACCGGATAAGACGAAAGTAGGTTATGGTAGTAGTAATTTTATTGAACCATATCTGCAATTGGATCAAGAGCATCCCGAAAATATAATGAATCAGATGAGAACCAAACAGAGACACACTTCTGGATCCAGTAGTAGCGTCAAAATATCCAGCACTTCAGCAACCATCAATAGCCCATGGACGTTTCCAGCGCTGAGAATAACACGAATGAAAAAGTTTCTATTCATAATAATTATAATTTTCACTGCACAAATATGTACTTGAGTTGATAGATTGTGTCTACCGTTCAGAACTATACTCAAAATTAATTGCATCGTATACAATTTGCACTTCAAAATCTTCAAGGTTATACATCTCAAATTTCTTGCATAATTACAAATCGTGCCAGTTCGATGAAATAATATTTCTGCTCTTTGTAAATATGCAACAAGTTATAGATGTATAACCCGAATATCTTGAAGTTTTTATAGTATCACTACTGAAAGTAATATTGTGCGAATATCCGTGCGGAATGGGGTAAGATCACACGGAGTTAAATCATATGAATTCTTCTTGAGTGGCGTGCAATTTTCTGGATAAAATTATTGTTAATTGAGAGATTCTGAAGAAATTTGGCATCATGGGAATATTCGTTAGATTGTTTTATATCGATGTGCTGAATATGCGTACTTGATTCAGAAACACCTCGTTCCTAAGGTTTCCCAACATGGCGATCTCGAAAACGGTAGGGGTTATAAATTAGGCTGAATAGGAATAGAGTTGCGCAGTCAGAGGTTCATACCAATGACCTACAAAAAATTTCGAAACGGTTTTCAGTAGGTGAGGTATATCGGAAAAAGTTAATTCTTGTAAAATACATTATATTCTTCGTTTATGTAATTATCAGAGACACAAAAAAAAACTGTATAGTTGTTCACACATGAGCAAGTAGGGACACTTTTCCGCACATGTCAGGTAGACTTTTTTCCTTCCAGCGTACAGAAAAATTGCTCAAACATCATAAGATTTGTTATTCGTGTGCTACAAGCGACCAACAAAATTATTATCGAGGATCTCGATTGAGATTGCAATATTAACAAATTCACTTATATATTATTGTTTCTTTGAAATTTGGAGGAAGAAATACCATCAGTTCCACTCATTTGTTGAACATTGATGTGGATATCTGGAACTGCGTAGTGAAAATGGAATATTGTTCAACGAGCATGAAATGATAGTGATTTTTCACGAGAATGAAATTTGCAGGGAAATGCAGCAATTATTCAAGTAGCCATCTGATTTGCTCTCAAGTAATGCTCATGAATAAGACAGAGCTGCCATTGCTTGAAATGTGATGTTCCATGAGCAACGAGATTTTTTCCAAATGATAACACGATGGAGTTATTGTGATATCATATATGGAAATGAAATTGATACCATACAAAGCACCTCATTGATGAATCGAACACAGTGAAACAAGAGCAAATTTGTTTTACAGCCGTAGAAAAAAGACATTTCACAAAATTGTTTAATGTAATTTTTCAGATTGTTTTTCCATGTTAATGGATCCTCACACGAAAGACAATGATAACTAACTTCTGACAACACGGGTAGTGATAGATAGTTATTCATGCAACAAGTGCAAAAAGTGAATGTTTACCGCACTCGACGTGAAATTGTCCGACGAGGCCGTTAGGCCGAGTTGGACAACACGTCGAGTGCAATAAACAATTTTTGCACGAGTTGCATACAACATTTTTTCTACGTTCACGCAAAAAGCAAAAAATAATTTATTGAGGTGCGGCAGTAGGTACAATTCTGTTAATTGTCAGAATTAATTTTTGACTGAAGTTTCCATAACCACAGTTGCAATATAAAAAATGTTTGTCATGATGACAGCACGTTGAAGTAGAATGACAGATGAGTGCAATAAAAACTTTATTGCACTAAGTGCAATAGAGAACTCATTTTTCCACTAAATATAGTTCAATAAAGTTCTGCTTTTTGCATGAATGTAGACAAAATAAGTTAAGATCCATAACAAATTTTCAGAACTATAACCATCATTTTCTGAACAATAAATAAGATGTCCTCTTCCTACATGCAGTTCCTTCCAAGATATTTCTAAGCATTGCTTGTGCGAAACGATGAAAACCAACACTTGTCAGTCCTTCTTCGTATCCATCAGGAAAGAAATAAGACTGTACAGTGTACACCGAGAGAAATCCAGTGATACAAGTCTCTATTCCAAAACATCCATCTGCTATATGAAATATTTCAACCGCGAATGTCATGTGATGAACGTGAAAAGTTAACGTTCCCAACGTGAAACAAGTCACTTTCTCGAGTTCTTCTTTTTATCTAGGTGAAGTTACTTCATGGATTCGAAATGAAACAAGATTTGAAAAATATGGAATTTGAAAGATCATTTGAACCCTAAAAAATGTCATTTCACATTTATACAAGTATCATTCAAGTTCCAACCATATACGTATTAATAAACAATACGGATCATAACGGGTGCCAGGATGAAGCCAAAAATATGAAACAAATGAATATCCATAAGGATTTGGTGGCATGATACGCATGCGCCATGCGCTATTAAAGTAGTCATCAAAGACATGCGTTTCGGTGGACAATGACGTTTACTAGCCTTTCAATCAAAGCAGTATGTGTCTGATCGTTTCAAAACTTTTCTTTATGGATAGTCATTTGTCTTCAAAAATCGGCTTCATGTTTCGCTATGGAAACAGATAGAGATTGTCCGTATTGATTATTAATACGTATATGGTTCCAACCGATCTTCATTTATTATCTCTGTCATAGGCACTCTTTTATCACAATGAGTCATCTCGCACTCACTCATAAATACTTGTTTCATCAGAATCATTCGTCGTCTCCGGATACCTGATGATATGTATAGTAATGATATGTAGCCTGCAGCCGCTAGTGAGCCATTCTTGAAGAGTGATACTTTTTTTTTGTCAAAAAGTGGAATGATTTGGTGTTTACCAGAGATATCAGGGATATATGTGTTTATATACCCTCCAAATATACAATTTGTTGTGGAACTACAGTAAGTGGAATTGCATCAGGGCGAAATAGTGGTTTCAAAATAAATCGGTGATGTATCGAAATTTCTCCAGATTTTGATGACATTTTCAATTTTTCAACGAGCTCACTTACACTATGGTATCAGGAGCTTGGATTCACAGACTTATATCGGTGATGAATTGTATGGCGTATACAGTGTTTCCAAGATGAGGATGTCTTCGTATCCATATCTTTGACACGGTTAATATGTGTATTTATCAAATTCGTATAATTTCATTCGCTGCTTCAAACTCCACAGGAATTCTAGCCAACAGATCATCAGAAGAATTATAGGATTCTGATTTGCGTTTTGTGGTTCGTGAACACTTATATACTGACGCCACCGTGTGAGTTTTCAGCAACTATTCCAATTAATAATCCAAGGGAGAAGATGAACGAATTCTTCGAATTGAAAGCATTTTTATTCTAGGAAAATTCAATTATTTCGTACTGAGTATCTCCCCCTTGTAATGCACTTCAATGACCAGTAATTTCGATACAAAAGCTCTACTTTGGGATAAGTATATGAGAATGTATACTAAATAGATATGTCTTTGATATTTCTCAAAAGTTTCCAACCCACTCCATTTATCTGGAGAAAAGGTTAATCAAACTAGTAGTAAAATTCCAATTATATGACTATCGAATTGAAGACAAAATCATATTGATATGAGTATCATTCGATATTTATTTTATATTGAAATGCTCATGATTCAGTTGTTGAGTTTGCATAACAAGCAATACCAGTCAGAGGAACACGAGAGGCCCTGTTAGCACATCCTATCGTTGTCAACCATATGGTCTTCAACAACACTTTTCTGTCCATAGGACATATAATCTTTCGAATTGTTTGCGCGAGTAGTATTTCCAAGAAATTATTATCTCCAGAGTTGAAACCATATCCAATACCAACCTTCTTCCACAATCCTCCAAGCAACAAGGTAGAATTTCTTGAAACATATTAAATCTGATTACCCAATCACGATGAAATCAATCCTTGATATCATTGAAGTCGAAAAAATAACTCACAATAGGATCTCACGGTGTTCTCTGATATTTTACTGGCATAATACGATCTTCGTGAAATTTATTCGACAAGTGGTGTAATCCTGCCATGAACTCAAAAAGAACTGAAAGCCCCACGAAACAACCAGCAATACAGATCTGTTAAGAGCATTTAGAGAGGTCAGAGTATCAAACTACCGAGCGCTAACGGCACTCAAAGCCTAGTAACCGGTGAGTTGTATTCTCACAGTAATCTAATAACTGTTCAGTATCGTTCTCATAGGGATAAAGTTGATGAACAGAAGAGTCGATCCCTGAAAGTTATTTCAGTGTCTATATCTCCAATAATATGCATTGATCGCCATCATACTTGAGTTAGGGTGAGTCATGACTAACCAGCCATAGCCCAATGGCGAATAGAGGAGGTCAAGGTGAGTTGATATATATATAATACAATATTTTTCGCCCATTCTTTACAGAAATACAGGGCATTATTTGAATTCGGGGCGAAACTCCAATGAACGATATTTCAGGAACGTCTCGATGTAATCGGCTGAAATTCACTAGCAACTTACCTCTAATGACACTTCACAAGATGACGTACTATGAATGAAAAATTCCAGATCCGGACTTGGAAAACTCATTTTCTCTTTAGATGTCAAAATTTTGACCTCCTGGATCGGATTTTTCGAAAACTTTTTTCAGAATCACAAAGATCAGAAAAAATACTACAAGTATGGCTTCTCAATTCGTACGGCACACTTCGATCGTTTTGGTAAAAAAATATCAAACAAAATACTGATGAAATTTTCTTCGGTTTCGTCCGGGCATATCACTCTCGACATTCGACTAGAAGTAATTAAATCAAATTTTTCCCTGGAAAGATTCAACAGCACACTTGAGAAAAGGTATAATTCAATAAAACTTTCAGGACCGGACTTGATTTCGGAAAATAACAATCATAATTTCCGAAAAAGATTTGTCAGAATCTTAATATCAATCAAGATTCTCAAAATGTCCTCCTCCAATTTCTAAACATTTTCTGCATCTCTTCGGGAGACCTCTTATGGCTTTTTCAATAATTTGCCTATTATTTTTGATTATATCTGCAGCTGTAACTATCCTCTCCCTCAGTTCGTCTCTGGTGTTGACTTCAGTCTGATAGACCAATTGTTTCATATGCCCCCAAAGAAAAAAGTTTAAAACTGTGGGATCAGGGGACCTTCTTCGGTATTCTCTCAATGCAGCTCTTGAATTGCCATCACAAAAACCGTATACAAAAATAATATCTGCATATTCAACGTTAGTGAAATGCAGTGGCATTTTGAAGATATGAAATGGAATATGAAATTATAAGATTAGTAACAGTATGTATCTGAAATTATCAACAATGAACTAGATGTCATTTGACAGTTTCAACAACCGTCAAAAATCGAGTCAACGACATACACTACTATATCACAGCCTTCTTTTCATATGTATTCAGAATCGATGAACTACTAAACTCACAATTTGATTTGCTGATTGGGAGAGTTCACAAGAAATGAGATCATAATTATTCAGTATTACTTCAAATCAAAATCCCTCCATGTAGTATAAGTTGGCACGTATATCTGATTCAAAAAAAAAATCTGTTTTCACATTATCACAAGTAGAAGTTGAGAATTGGGAGAGGATAATTACAGCTGCAGATATAATCAGAAATAATAGGCTAATTATTGGAGAAGCCATTAGAGATCTCCCGAAAAGATGCAGAAAATGTATAGAAATTGGAGGAAGACATTTCGAGAATCTTGATTAATATTGAGATCCAGACAAATCTTTTTCGGAAATTATAATTGTTATTATCCAAAATCAAGTCCGGTCCTGGATTTTTTATTGAATTATACCTTTTCTCAAGTCTGCTGTTGAATCATTCCAGGAAAAAACTTGATTTAATTACTTTTAGTCGAATTTAGAGAGTGATATGCCCGGACGAGATCGAAGAAAAATTCATCGGTGATTTGTTTGATATTTTTTTACCAAAACGATAGAAGTGTGCCGTACGAATTGAGAAGCCATTCTTGTAGTATTTTTCCTGATCTTACTGATTCTGATGAAAGTTTCCAAAAAATTCGATCCAGAAGGTCAAAATTCTGACATCTAAAGAGAAAATGAGTTTTCCAAGTCCGAATCTGGGATTTTTTATTCATAGTACGTCATCTTGTGGAGTGTCAGTAGAGGTAAGTTGCTAGTGAATTTCAGTCGATAACATCGAGACGTTCCTGAAATATCGTTCATTGAAGTTTTGCCCCGAATTCAAATAATGCCCTGTATATCTGTGAAGAATAGGCAAAAAATATTTTTTTACATATATATCAACTCACCTTGACCTCCGCTATCCGCCATTAGGCTATGGCTGGTTAGTCATGACTCACCCTGTATAATCTCCTACTAACTAGCTTTCCTATGCAGATCAATGAAGAGGCTAGTAATTCATTATCGCAGTTCTTTGTTGTCACTGACAAAATCACTCCACAGGGTGTTTTCTGTGAAGAAATAATTGCGTACTCCTGGAAATCGAATGTATCGATTGTTTCTAGATATTTTGTTTGATTCGAATCCAGACAGTATATAGATATAAAGTATTGTTTCATGATTCGAGATATGAATGAATTAGTGGACTGTATGGTTTAAAAATTAATCGAAATCACAGAGCGGTCTATAAAGGCCACTTACCCATGATGTCTTCTTGCCACGCCAAATTCGTATAATCTGCAGTCTTGGAGATGGTACCATCGACGACCCACATCTGATATCCAGAACAGGACACTATGATTGCACTATACTGTTTTTCGTGTAATTGTTCATTATAGGAAGGAATTTAACCTTTGTTGGAGATTCACCGGTGTGATTAAAAACACGTGTATAGCTCTCAGAGAGTCATTAGAGAGAGAGAGAGAGAGAGAGAGTCATGATTTTCGTGGTACTACGTCCTCGTGATTCTCTCCTTTGGGGAGGGGAAAGGATCCATGTGCCCCTAAGTATAGTGGCCAATAGATACTCTGTGATTGAATACGCGCGAAAAATTAGGATAAATATATGAGACTACCAACTAAGTCTTTTGGCAATTGTATGAACTTAAATATCTATGCATCAAATACTGGCTTGATGAAACATACCGCCCATCAAAAATTGTGCAAAATTTTTAAAAAAATAAACTTGAGAAATAAAAAAATCAAAAAATAAATCAATTTCTTTGCCTTGAGCAAAACATTACGACATAAACATTAATGATTAATCGGTAAGTGGGAGCGGACATACTTTATGTACCGGACGTTTGAAGGTACCCTTTGTGGTTTTTACTGAAACAACTCTAGTGATACCATCAGCTCCAGTATGTAACTCTGTTACTCGTCCCATATTCCACTTTAAAGGCGGTGATAAATCGTCCTTCAAGAGAACCAATGTACCTAATTCGATGGGGACTGCGGAATCTGTCCATTTTGAACGCTGCAAGAGCGTATGGAGGTATTCGCGATGCCATCCTGCCCAAAAATCCTGTTGGATTCGCTGGACAAGCTGCCATCTCGAGAGCCTACCAATGTTCAATTCTGTCAGATTATGCTCGGGTAAGGAAATGAGAGGTGCCAATGTTAGGAAGTGGTCAGGTGTGAGCACATTAAGATCATTAGGATCAGAGCTCATAGGGCTTAAGGGACGAGAATTAAGAATAGATTCAATCTGGATCATCACAGTGTTGAGTTCCTCATAGGAAAGGATCTGATCCCCAACAACACGAATCAAATGTTTCTTAACCGCCTTTATACCAGCTTCCCAGAGTCCTCCAAAGTTTGGGGAAATGGGAGGGATAGTGTGAAACTCAATATACTCAGTTTCAGCAGCTACGCGCATGAGGTCAGACAGTTTATTAGCAGCTCCAACAAACACGGTCCCTTGGTCACTATAAATATGATTACATTGGCCCCGTCGTGCGAT